GAGACACTCATGTCCTAGCAGACCCCTGGGCTGCACTGGCTGGGAAGTAGAACATCACCGACTGCATTTACCTCTTCCTCTCCTTGGCGCCCTGGGAGGTAAAAGGGTTTCCTTCGGGAATTAAGACCCACAGGTACTTCAGGCTGAAATAGATGCTAAGGGCACTCTGAACGGTTGCTTCTTCTTTGCTTCTAAACCCTGATCTGAGATCACTGTAAGAACAGCTCAATGTTAGCACATTCCTGAGCCAGTTTCTGAGCCTGTGATAGCAATTGTCGGAGACAGTTATTCAGCTGACTTATCTTAGAAATAAGATCACCGAAATCAGTGTGGGCTCGCTGTGGGAGAAGTTTGGATTTGTAAGCAGAAGTCTGAAGTCGGATTCCACCGCTACCGCGCACTATCTACATGATGTTAGGCAAGAATCTCAGGCCTCTAAGATTCCTTATTCATAAAACAAGGAACAAACATGCAGCCCATGGACCCTAAGCGATTTCTATAAGGTCGTAATGCAAAAGAACTGGCAGAATCAGGGCACAATCTCACACAGGGGATCAACCAAAATTCCAAATCACAGCTACCGAAGTGCAAAATTCTGTCTTACTATCAAAGAGATAGATGGTTTCAGAAAAAAAAGCAATTAATATTTTTGGGGGGACTAGTAATTTCCCTTTCAGTTCTTCCTCAGAATGGTTGATGCTACAGACCAAGAGTGTAAAAGAATAAACACTGAAGTTAACGTTACAAAAGAGAGTATTGGGCGGAATAGTTTACAGAGTCAAACATATAAACAAATGCAAACTGAAGCCTAAAGCAATAAAATATGTTATATTTAAGATTCTGAATCATCAAGCTATAAAAAAGAATTAAAATTTAAATTCAAATATATGAAATGTGTGTGCTCACATGCAAAACAACACTTCAAAAGCAGTAATTCCACTAAAAAGCACTGCAATGTTCATTTCTTTTTCAAGAAATAAACTATTAACTATAAACTGTTAGGTAATTTCTTCACTGAAAAGAAGCAAATACTCAGTTCAAATTCCCTCTTTCACAGATTTTAAATACATATTTTCAAAGTTATATTGATAACCTTCATACTGATGAATAAGTATATAAAATTTCCGAAATCAGACAAAAATGTAAATCATGTCAGTACCATATATTTCATTTCACTGAATCATTTTAAATAGTTAATTGGTACATGATTTAGGGAAAAACCCATCAGATTCCCAAATACAGCGTTCCGGCATATTTTACTAACAGGAATATGGAATCCTCAGTGAGTCGAGAGCAACCACAGCTTACAGAGGAGCTGGTGATCATTCCTTCCTTATTTTTGTTACACACTTCTCCAGGCACATAAGGAAGACTGCGGATCTTGCCTAAGAAATACCTGCAGTGCAACCCAGTCATGCTGCTGCTGCCCAGAAGGCGGCTCTGTACCTGGTGTGTCAGCCACTCTCAGAGCTGACCAGAAAAGCAGCCTCTTCTCCCTGAGAACCATGGCCAACCCAGAAGCACATGAGAGTCTGAGAAACACTGGCACACATACATGTTCTTGGGCAACTTTCAGAAACCCTCCAAGACCCAGGCTCCTACTGGAAAATGAGATCCGTTGGCAGTACCCACAATGTGCTAGAATTGTGGGCATAATCAGATAATGCTACGTAGCAGCAAACACTCAGTAAAGTCTAGCTGTATTAAATTTTATCATCTACCTCAGACTTATATAATCGTGCTTTTTCTACTATGGCTCATATAAAATTGCACTGGTACGACACCCACATGAGTTAAAGCTCCTTTAATCCAGGTGTCTCCCTGAGTACCAGAAATAGAAGTAAATTAATAATGCCATCTTGCATTCATTTACAATACAATTCAGCACAAGTTGTACAATTAGCCTCAAAATATTTCCCTTCTAAATAATGTGTTTCCTATTTCTGTGGAATCAAAGAAGTTAAATAAATAATTCTGTTCGACAACAAACATGAATCTTTTGCACAGACATAAAATCTAACAAATTCTGCATTCATTAGACTCCGTGCACTTACCAGTGCCTGACACCCCACCCTAGACCTCAAATACCACCCCAGTGTGTGGAGCTGCATAGACAAACAACAAATACAAAAACGTGTCCAGGAGCTTGCAATTCAGTCCATTCCACAGCTTTTTTGGGATTCATGTCTATATTATCTGCTTCCACTAGCCAGAGAAAGTTATGTTAGCAGAGAAAAATCAGTATAAAGGAACTGTGCTCAGCAGTCACAGGATTATTAATCACTTAATAGAAAGTACACCTTATCTTTTTAAGTTTTTATGACAAACGTTTACATCTCTAAAAATACATCCATAGCCCTGAAGTTGAAGATAACACTGCTTTGAATTTTCCTGCCATGAAAGTTTATCTCACCACGGACTGCTAGTGATAGATATTTTTTAATTCAATCTTTTGATATCAATTCAATCTACCAATGCACAGCAATAGGACATGTCAAATATCCAAACAGATAATTCTACAGTGAAAGTAGACAAGAAATAAAAGGTGACCTTGGGACAAATACCTGTGACAGTTCTCCAATCTGTAGGGCCCAGCATTAAATCTAACAAAATGTGTAAAAGTCCGTAAAGAAAGTTTAAATCTTTATTGAACCGAATGACTAGAAAATTGCTAGGGGGAAAGACTACCCCGCCTACAAGTAAAAAAGACAAAATAGAAAATTATTCAATTCTTTCCAGCTTGGCCTGAGTCAAAATACCAATCAAAATCCCAGTAGGTATTTTTCTGGACAATGAAATGCTGAATCTAAAACTTAGATTAAAAGAGAAGTTGCAAGAATATTCAAGATCCTTCTGAGTAAAAATATGGTGAATAACTTGGCCTACCAGAAATCTAGCTTCATAATGCAGAGCTCAAGGGACAAAGGTCTTGGGAAAGTTAACTGGGAAAAACTAATTTGAATTGCAGCCTAAAATTACATACAAATATCACTTGCAAGTGATTTAAACACTTAAATATGAAAGATAGATCCTTTTAGAGTAAAATATATTTTAAAGCATGTATATTATCTCAAGGTAGGGAAGGATTTAGAAAATCTAACACCACAAAATACTACAAGTAATTAAAAGGAAAGTTGACTTCAACTACATTAAAATTAAAAATTTATCAAAAATACATTAGAAGTCACAAGCTGTTAAAAAGATATTTCCATTATGAGGAACTAAAATGAATTAACACCAAGTATACACGACCTGGAAATCAACTGATAGAAGAAGATGGTGCTAAAGATATGAACAGATCCTTCCTGGGAGAGGAGAGGGTGGGAAAAGGAAACCCAGCCAGGTGCGCTCCTTAGCGGGCAGGAGAACAGCTCCCACTTCACACCCTCATGTGCCTGGGACCAGGAAGCCTTTGCTTTCACGTTCGCCCAGAAAAGGAATTCATGGGGGCTCACGTTGCTACTAAAGGTTTAAATGGATCCAAGTCTTTTGGAAAACAGCTGTCATACCTTTAGAAAGCTGGCTTTGACACTGCCCTTCACTCTAGCACTTTTGCGATGCTGTAGCTGGGGACAGAATCAGAGCTACATCCCCAGCCTTCCTAAATTTTTTGAGACAGGATCTCGCTAAGTCACTACACTTGAATTGGAGATCCTCCTACCTCAGCCCCCCAGAGTGCCAGGATGTCAGGTGTGTGTCACCATGCCCAACCTCACCCTATAAACATTCTTGCACATGTGTACCAGGACACTTATTCAAGAAAATTTAGCAGCATTATTCACAGTAGTAACCATCTAGGAGCAATCCAAATACTAATTTGTGAACAGAAGATAAATGAAAAGCATCCTCATAAAATAATCTTTACTTTTGAATAGAGCATGCTCCTACTTGCTCCTCCTACTTGCTGCTGTCTGTGTTTTCGGGTACAGTGCTTTTGCTCTGTTGTCGTCTGAAGACATCACACAGAACATTCCAGAAATAATAACATACATTCTAACCTGCGAGCTCTTCTGAAGAGAGTGGTAGAATCTCTGTGCATCTGCCCCGCACAGGAAGGAGCCCTGGTCCGTGCATCCACACTGCACTCGCCACTGTCCCATGTTAGTGGCTGTCACCGTACCCGCAGGCACTGCCAACAGCACCACCGGCTCTTCCTCATGCGCTGCCCCGTGTGCCATCACCAGACCTCCCTGTCACCGTTCATTCGTCCTCTCGTTGGCAAAGACGGTGAGCATGCTCCAGAGAGGCACTCAGAGGGAGAGGGGCCACCTTCACACAGCTCTGGGACAGCGTGCGGCTATCTGTGTCTGTTCTGCTACCGGCTGCCAAATCCACACATTAAGCTTTATGACCACGTGTGGAAAGGAAAACACACAGCACATGGGTCCTGCATCATTCAGATCGACCAGTCCCACGTAGAAGATGACAGGAAAAGGTTGGCATCCCAGCAGACTAGGAGGACTGCTGGAAAATTCACCTGGGAGCAACGCTCTCGGAGAATGCTGAAGAGGAAAAGCAAGTTGACTGCACACAGCTTGATAAGACGTTAGGAAAGCTCAAAAATATACCAAATAGATACTTTGGTCAGCAAGGCAGTTATGTCAGGTACAACTTTTTGCATAAAGCAAAGAAGCTGTTAATAGCACAGTGGCCTCCTCCAGCAGCGCGGCCAGAGGGTGAGGTGGGAGAGAACTGTGGGCTTCACACCACGATAAGCCTTGTGTCACACGACAACTTACACGTGTATAAACGAGTGCACGTCTCAGTGAGAATGTGCACTATCGAATACAGTGATATGCAAATGAACTAATATTCAGAGAAAAGCTATCTGATTACTTTGGGACCCCAGGAAAACCATGAAATCTCATTTTTTAACCAACGCACACAGCACAGTTGCCAAGGTAACAAGAGCACCTCAAACAAACCCTCCCAAAAGCAGGAACAATACACACCAGGGAAGCACGGGCACATGACGAGACACAGACCCAAGGCCGACTCACCTCCAGGGCTTTCGATCTGTTGCTCAGGAGCTTCTCAATCTCCCTGGCCGCGATCTCCACCAGCTGGCGGGCATTATTCGGTTCCACAGTATACAAGTCTTGGTACTTCTCATAAATCTGCGTGAAAGGAAAAGAAAAGGAGAACGCTCATCCCTTACTGGGCTCACAGACTCCCGCACCAATATATTTACAGCAACAAGGAACGGACTGAAAAGGCCCACTTTTTTCCCCCCTTTGTTTGGATCTTTTCTGAAGTTTGGTGATATCGGGGAAAAGTGTACACTAACATACGTCTGCTGGAAGGCCACCAGCTTGCTGAGATAGCTATGAGCTGTGAGACATCTTGCACGGCAGAGTTCGCACTGTGATTGTGAGGCTTGAGGGTGCACCGCATCCCAACTTTAAACAAAATGAAAGGAGGCAGAGGGGGTTCGAGCCGCAGCGCAACACGGCCGGCCTGGGGTGGCCAGGCTCTTGGAGGAACCAGGGCTGCATTCCCACGAGGAAGACCGAAAACTGCTTCTGTCCACCTGGAAGTCCAGTCAGAACTGAGAGGGCATATTTATTTGTTTAGAGTCAACGAATCCAACTATAGTAAAATTAGGCCAGGCAGCCCCTCGCTTTTGGCTCACACCTGCGTGTAAGGAAGGGATTTCTCAGAGCAACCTGGTGGTCAGGGTTGGGCACACCCAGCAGGAGAGGATGTAGGGTGGGAGGCCTGGGGGGCCGGGCTGGAGCTGCAGGGTGAGGGGAAAGGAAACCCCTTCCGCACTGCACAGACGGCGTACGCATGACTGAGCCACAGACAGCCAGGGCCTGGCAGGTCCACCTTGGCAGGGGAAGTGAACCAGCACGTACAGAAACCGGCTCCAGTCCAGCTCCTGCTCCTCCGGGGCAGGTGCCACAGCGGGGCCCAGCCGCAGCAGACACTGCCTCTTGGCCAGCTTCAAGCACACACAAAACTCACGCCAACATTTACCTAAGAGAGTGTGCTAATTTTCTGTGAGCCTGTAACTTTTTACTTGAAGGGATTAATAGATCATTGATCATCAAAAGTATTTAAATTGTGTTTTATTCCTAAAATCGATTGATTGAAGTGCGTAGGTTTGGGCCGTCCTCATTAGAACTTTGCTCTTGTACATTTCCATTCTAGTTATTCCAGACTCATGAATTTAGTGATATGAAAATTCTACATTTGAGGGCTGGGGATGTAGCTCAGTTGGTACAGCACTTGCCTACCATGTGCAAGACCCTGGGTTTGATCCCCATCACTGATTTAAAAAAAAACAAAAACCTCCCTACTGGCATCATCTGGAACTCCTCCATGCCCTGGAACTGCTGATATTTCGCAGGGCACGCTCTGAGACCCTCCCTAAACACCAGGGCTACGCATGAGGAAGAACTCCAGCAGCACACAGCCCCTTCCTTCAAGATGAGACTCGGGAACACGAATCCCTCAGTGGGTGAATTGATCTGGGTTACAAACAGATAAACCTCAGCATCACTTTCATTGATCCAGGATATTTAGTTCTCTGAAGTAAGAGCAATAGAGCTAATTGGTGTGAAATGTAGTGGTGCTTTGTTCCATTAATATCTCCTACAGTCCGTGTTGTTCTCTACAAAGTCTCATTGCCTCCCTGTGGCTCAGAGAGAACAATGTGCCTTCGCCTTCACTGGGATGGATTCGGATGTGAACGTGTACTTCACACTCTACAGGGCATCGCTTAGAAAGTCACACATATGTCAGACACAATGCTTTAAGAACGGATGAATTATAAAATAATTTGCAAGTATATATAGATAGTCTCTCAAATATCCGAAGACGGTTTCTCAATTTCTCCTCCACGACAGTCTTAAATACTTAAGAAATGCTATGGTTTGACTCTAGAGTGACTTCCAAAGGGCCAGGTATAAGTAGCTCCCTCCTGGGGCGGCACATGCAGAGGGGTAGGATTGGGCAGTGGGCTATGCCAAGTGCTCAAGTCACTGGGGCGTCCCCTTGAGGAGACTGTCGGGACCTGGCCCTCCTCACCCTCATTCCACTCTGCTGGATGTTAGCGGTTGCCTCAGCAAAGCCCAGAGGTTCAGTGCTGTGGACCATGGATTGGGCCCTCCAAACTGTAAGCCAAAATACATCTTTTCTCTTTATGGACAGATTACCTGGAGTATTTTATCACAGTCCTGGTAAGGCAACTAACATAAGAGATGGAAACAAGATCAAACTCACAAATTTTACATGGGCAAAGTCAGTATTTTATATATAAAACCACAACTGGAATATTTTCTTGGTGATACAAATGAATTAACATTATAAGCTTAGTGAATAATTTTGAGTTTCACTTATATTTTTAAGAATTCAAGATACATTGTAATCATAAATATATGTCTCTTTTCATCACTAAAATAAGCCACATTTCTATAATATTTCATGTTAATATATTAATATTTGAAATGTGGTCTAAAGTATCTTTTCGCCCTCCTAATTTTATTTCCATTTTTCTGAATGATGATCCACTTTGTCATTTGATCCAGTTTCTTTCCTGAAGAAAACCATATGTTGGAAGTGGTAAGAGTTTTTGGCTCCAGACAGGGCTCCATTACAATCGTGTCCACGCCTCACAGGCTGTGTGCCACTGGCCTCCGTTTCTTCTCCTAGAGAGAGGCAGTGTACAGAGAGAATCCAAGACAGAGTGTTTTCCTTCTGACTGCTACACGAACTAAAAGGCCTCGTTTCTCTACAGTTTGGGTCCTCTCCCTGCCCCCTTCACACACAGCAGTACCTGGCACCGGGACACTCTTTCTTTGTCAATCACCACTGGCTCTCGTGTTCTTGGACTGCTACCCTCAAATACAAAGCTTTAGTATCCTAACAGCACAGGAGAGAGACATCTTATCTTCCTCACTGGAAACTTCCTTCAAATCTCTAAGCTAAATTAAATGGTTCCAGACAAGTTTGAAAACAACACACTTAAACAGCAGACTCAAATGTACTACATGGAAAGGGACACCACTCACTGGTACAGTGCCTAACAAAATTCCTAAAGAAACATTTCAGAAATGAGAATGCATAGCATTATGCCATGAAATTACATCACAAAGTGACAAAGAGCCCCAAAGATGCCGACTGTGAAGTCATATTCCTGCAAGTTTTGGGTGCCTACAAGTTTATTATCAGCAACTGGTTTTGGACAATTAACATAGACCACCTTTTAGGGTTTTACATATGTTATGCTATTTATCCAGTTCAATAAAAACAGATGCATTTGACCACCCTATTAGGTTAGTTAACATAGGGTCTCACGTCATCGTAAAAGAACAAACCTCTGCTTACGGAAGGTAAGCTGGCTTTTCGAGCAAAGTGTGCATGGCCACAGTCACCTGGGTGCTCCTGGGGTGCAGTAGGAGGCAGGGACATGGGAACAGCTCTTAGACAAAGTGAGGAAGGTACTGACCAGCACACCTGGCAGGAATCAGCCCCTTGCAGTACCAAGTGGTTCCAACGTGGAGGCAGAAGGGTGAACAAGAAAAGAAACGGATGCATGGGACCCGGACCGGAGGAAGCCAAAGCACTATGCGCTGTGGAGGCAGCAAGCCACTGGCCTCCATGCCAGTGTCAAGAAAAACCGAAGATGCAAACCCACCAGCCTCTGGTTTCCCTTCCTATGAAACAGCAAGGAGCAAAGTCAGGAACTTAAGAGACCTGACAGGCACCTAGAACTTGGACCTGACTAAGTGCATCACTGACTGAACAAGGTTTGACCTGTTCAGAGACTAACCTTCCAGCAGTAAGATTAATCTCCCCACTCGTGGGAGAGGAAAAAGGCAGCCTCTAAGAAAGTTAAGTTCCCTAAAGAGAATCACAGTCAAACTCCTGCTTATTAAAATCTTAACCATGTGAACTTTGACAGTCCTTCCTCCAATAGCTGTGTGTTTACTTCCTTCGAGTGAAGTTGGGCTGGACACCCATTGGCATTTCTACAGTGTCCAGGGCCAACTTTCTGCAGGACACTGACCCTCCCAGAGGAAGCAGGAGCCCTCAGAGCTCTATTGCACGTGACTTGTGGTATTCTAAAGGGTGGCCTTGCTCTCGGCCCCCATGGAACTGCAAGGACTTGCATCAGCCCTCCACAAAGCTATCTGTGAGTCAATGGCTGTGAGGAGCTGGGAAGAAAAGTGCTGCATAAACAATGATAATGACGGTGCATGGGACCCATCAGATTCCCTCAGCACAGGACAACAGCTGTGTGGAATAGCATGATCAAGAGCAGAAGCAGAAATAAAGTCTATCGGAGGAAAGCAGCATTCAGGTGTACTGAGCAAATGAAAGGATGGCTGCTGCAGGCAGATCTAACAGCCTCCCTGAGACACCCACACCCGCATTGCCAGAGCCTGCGAATATGGCTGACCAGAATGGGACACGTCAGCTCAGTCACGGGTCCACCATAACAGGAGAGGCAGCTGTGATGAAGGAAGGAGATGCCAGAGAAATGGAGGCCTGAGAAGAAAGCAGCCTAAGATTGAGCTTTGAAGATGAAGAAGGGAACTTGAGCGGGGCAGGCACCTGGTCACAGGATCGCGATGTAATTCTACGTGGTTGCAAGCCAATACACGCGTGCAAATTCTCACACGATGACTCCGTGGTTGTCAGTTGCTCCCGAATGGGAGTCAGCCACCATAAGTGGCCTCTGGAGAGTCACTCCGCCGACCAAAGTCTCATCTCAGCCCCCCAGGTTTCTGGCTGAGTGGACACTCCAACGGAGCTCCCTCGGGCTTCCCAAGTTCTCCATAAGTAAACGAGCCGAGTGACCCACCATTCCTAAAAAACAGAACTCACACGAGGGCTTCTATGTTCCAAAACTGGAGTAACAGCTTGCCTTAATTATGACTTGCACTTTCCTCCCACCACTCATTGGCTCCGCTGGACAGGAACAATGAGCTGCATGGAGTCAAATGTTCCCCTTCCACTGGCCTTCGGGCCTAATGAAAATTAGCTCAAGGACATCCAATGCTGCTTTCACGACTGCAGTGTTCTCACAGAAAGTCTAGACAGAAAAACTAAAAATACCCGAAAGGACGTGAACATACTGTATGAAGTGTGCACGAGCTGGATGGGTAGC